TTTGCTCTATTTCCCCTTTCACGAAGTCTTACAAGAAATAGTAGATAGTTATAAAAAATGAAGGAAGTTGGGTTAGTGGAAAAATAAAATATGAAAGTTAAAGATAGAGATGATCTAAAATATTACTTCCTCCTTTTGTATTTAGTTGACACGTTCAATTAAGGCACACATATTAAGGAGAGGAGAGAGAGTGAGAGAGAATGATAAAGCAAGTGGGGTACACTTAAAAGCAAGGTATAAAACTTACCCAAAAAGGAAACGCGTCAACTAAAAAAAAAAACTTCCTAAAAAGGAATACATGTCAACTTATAAAAACGGAGGTAGGTAAAATACTACGCATAATAGTTGATGGGTCCACTAAAAGAGAAGAAATTACTAAAATATTGTAAAAGATTTTCAAAAAAAAAAAAACGAAATAGAGCATGTAATAAAATACGACTGCAAAAGGAAAATGTTATAACTAATAAAATATTAAAATATGGTGAAACAAGTATGAGAAAACACTTATGAATGTGTAAGGACAATAATATCTTCAATTGCTTGTTTACCAATATTGTATATACCACTATTTATATGATACTAATTGTCTTTTAAGTTTTTTATAGTGTGATATAATTATTAAACTTTAATAAGGGCCTGTTCACTTTATCTTAATTTCAGTTCAACTCAGCTCCAATCAGTTTATTTTAGTTCATTTCATTTCAGCTTTAATTAGTTCAATTCTTTTCAGCTCCTAATTTCCCTCTCTCATAAATTATTCATTTTAGCTCAACTCAGCTCACAACTCATTTCAGTCAGCTCATCTCAGTTCAGTAAATGTGAACAGACTCTTAATATTGTTTTGACGATTATACCCTCTATTATATTTATTTACCTTTTGCTCTCAATTGACGTTAATTTTTTTTTAACTTTCAAAATAGTGTGCGGATATTTATATTCTCAAAAATATCTATTTACCTATTTTCTCTTATTATATTACAAACAACTAAAAGATCTCCCTAAAAATGACTAGCTATGAGTCTATGACATGTGTATTGCGCATTTAGCTGTCCCAATAATTTAAAATTTTTGACATAAAATACCAAACAAAGCTACAAGTTGTGATTGCTTACTATTGTAATCATACTAAAATCATTGAAAGATCTTTTTAATTATTGTTGAAAGAAGTAATACGGAGTGTCGCGATATTTTGCATTATTTGAAAACAAAGTCCAATACTAGGCATTGTATAAAATTTACGTTTTAGTTATAAAAAAATCAATATTCCAAATAATAAATAGTTTAATGCTCATGCCTGAAACATATTACTTGGTATAAAAGTATATAAGAATAAAAAGTAGACTTCTGTTATGAAATATTTGTGCATATCCATTATCTTCCTTTGTATCATTCCGGAACAATCTAGATCTAGGGTATATATTCTTATCCATTTAAATCCTAATATATTGTATTTATATATACCCCATTATATGGAATAGAAATACACTGATATATTCACTATCAATCTCTCTTATATTTCTCTCTATTTTATAACACGTTATCAGCACCAAAGCTCTAATTATTATCTTGTTATGTCGCATCTTGGGAAGAAATTAGGAGATTAATTTTGATCATGGATTTTAATCTTTTAATAATGAAATCACACGTTTCAAGAATGTCATATCATTCCCAATCCTCATTAATAAATTTGGGATTAGTACAAGTAGTCTCACGATATTAATAATTTGGAATGTTAATGGTAGTGCCGCTTTATTTAATTACAAAGAACTCTCGTATTATTTTTCGGTTGCATTGGTTTGTTTATCTTGAATCATTGCTATACTTTATTTTCTTTTCATTGACGTTTTCATGAGTTACAGGCTAGTAGATGACGTTGACAATATGGAGTTGACGATAAGGCTGGCTTTTATAGTGGGAAAGGTTTTGATATCAGGAAAGTTCATTCTCAACTATCCTGTTATTGTTAATTTTAAACCTTTACATAATATGTTTATATTGTTTCCCAAATTTTCGTATTATTATTATTCCTGGAGTTCAATGAGCAATTTGGGAATAGTTGGGGTTAATTTTATGAACGTATGGTTTTCGTGAAATTGTATTACATATATTTGCTAGATTTTGGTATTACTTTTTCTATCCGTAAATGAGTTTGGTTATTTCTCTATGCTTGATAGCAAATATGAATGGTTTGATTTAGCAATTATTTACCCATATAATTTGTTTATGAAATCCTATGTATAATGCCTTGAATGTTTGTAAATTGTACGAAGTAAGCCTAAGGTACATGTGAAACTATTTATAATTTATGTATTGAATTGTGTTTTTATATTTCAAGTATGATATGAAACATGTGGTTTTCCACTAACGTGAACATGTTAATTTTGGTTGGTTATGTGCTTGTTTCTATTTTCTAATTAAGCTTTATCAGGCAATATATTGATATAATTGATCCGACAGTATAGTTGATTCAATCGATTCAGGTATGTTTTTATTAAAGCGTGAAGTAGTAGGTTTTCATATATTTACCTTCTCATTCAATTATAGTATTATGTACCTACTTGAAGTTAGATTATTGGAATGAATGTAAATTGAATATGATGTGCGGACCTGAAGTTCCTTATATTTATAAAGAGTATTCACACTAGCATGAACATATAAATGGCTCAAAACCCTTAAGGATAATACAAAGAAATGTACATGATCTACAAAGCTAAAGCATATTGCTTAGATATCCATTACATACTAACTTGATTCTATAAACACAATGTCATGTTTACTTATGTTTCCAAAGATTAATTTTAATTTGGCTAGTATAGTTGAGTGGATCGAATAAGGTATGTTTTGATTAAAGCTCGAACTGTTTATGTCATGTCTTATTTTTACCTTCTCTTTCTGAAAAATGTAGATGGATTGATATATATTCTCGTACATATGGACTTGAAGTTCCTTAATTAATTAAATATATAGCAAAAAGTGTGTTATGAGTTCAAATTTAGAGAAGTGATTGGATGTGATAATTAAATTAGGTCATCCGAATTTAATAATAATTACCCGTAATGGAAACCTGAAGTTTCATTTGATAATTTGCTGACGCTTTCTTAATGTTAAATATATAAAATGAATTGAATGGAAAGACGTAATATTGAGATTGAGTCATATTTGGATTGTGAGTTATAATAATTTGTATTGATGAAAATTTCAAGATTTAATATGTTTTGATTTTTTTTATATAAAGGAGTAATGGCTGATAAAGGAGTAATGGCTGACCAGAAGTTCACCAAAATAACTTATATATTATTGTCAACTATCAAGTGATCAGAAGCTCACCAAATACACTATTTAAGTCTTTAACGATCCAAAAGATCATCACCTACTAGAATTATGAGCAAGTGATTTATGCTTGTATAACAATTCTTTTGATTGGGGCTATTATATGTCAGCACATATTAAATTGGAGAAGAAAGAAAAACGTACAACTGCACAACATATGTCTCCCCATTGTCATTGATCTCCAGAAGAGAAAATATTATTGAAAATTTAATAATAAATACACATGAAATATAAAGTTAATGAATAAATGATTCTTCATCGAAATTGTTCTCCAGAAGAGATAAATTTTGAATGTGATCCTCCGAATGAAATGAATTTTAATGCAAATTTATATACTAAGTTGGTATAAAATTAGACGCCCTTATAAAATGCCCAACCCTACAATTTTTTATGTCTTGAATATTGCAATTGTTATCAAACTCTTGAAAAGTCTACGTGATTACATTATTGACATCTCAACCTGAAGTTTGAGCATATGAGAGTTAGTAAGATTTACTATTTGTATTTACAAGAGAGCTATCATGTCAATCATGAAACATCTAAATAATATCAATGGAATACTTATGCGCGAGAATGTTTTCTCATGGTCCAGAAGAATCATGATTAGCGTACATAATTACATATGTTATATTATAATTCATATGAGATTGAAGAATGACATTAATAATATCAAGTTTTGTCATCAAATTATTATTAATGAATGTTAAATCAAATAATGATCACCAATATTTATAATTAACGACTTCCAGAAGAAGTCATAACCGCATGAGTTTAACCTTTTTAATCAACTATTAAATAGAGATTTGGAATGGTGATATTAGAGATAAACACATATAAGGTGAAATGAAGACACTTCATATGTTCATGTGAAGACTTGAAGAATTAAATATGCAACTTCAGCTTAGGAGAGTCGAAGATCAACAAGTGATGATATTTTACCAATTTATTAGAAGATATCCAACATATTGGATTCATTATTGCGACACTAGAAGATCTCAAGTTATGTGTTCATCAGGGGGAGAAAATACGCGCTGCACTCTTTTTCCCTTGACCATGGTTTTGCCCCAAATTGGGTTTTCCTGGTAAGGTTTTTAATGAGGCAGCATCTCGAGCGTAATACGAAGAATGATGTACTCTTTTTTCCTTCACTATGTTTTTATCCCACTGGGCTTTTCGTAGTAAGGTTTTAATGAGGCACAATCTTCGATAATGGACATCCAAGGGGGAGTGTTATGAAATATTTGTGGATATCTATTATCCTCCTTTATATCATTCCGGAACAATCTAGATCTAGGGTATATATTCTTATCCATTCAAACCCTAATATATTGTATTTATATATACCCCATTATATGAAATAGAAATACACTGATATATTCACTATCAATCTCCCTTATATTTCTCTCTATTTTATAACAACTTCCCATTAATTAAATCCATATAAACTGGAGACCAAGTTTATAAAGGAAAGTAGGGAACAAGTTTATTACGTAATGAGATTGGACTAAGTCATTTAATCCTACTATATTATAGAATTGATCAAGTCAATTATTCAATATTTTAATACGATTATTGACCAAGTCAAATCATTGAAAGCTATTAATACCTTACCAAGTTCATCATGTTTGTATTCCCGCCATTTTTCATATACTTAAAGCAAAATTAGATCACTTCTTTCGACCATCAAATTTTACAAACATGTCTATCTCTATATACTCAAACATTAAAATCACTCTTTTCTTCATCGTTTCGATATTTCTAATTCGTATCAACTCGCAACCTACTCATGATATTTTCGGATCATGTCATGGTGGTGGAAAGGATGATGAATACAAATCTCAAACCGATATCAATAAAGCCATAACTCAACTCATATCCAATGCATCAAACACATACTTCAGCAATATATCAACCGGCTCCGGCTCAGATCAGTTCAACGCCTTATACTATTGTCGATACGATTTCTCACTTCAAACTTGTAAAAGTCGTGTTGAAAGTGCCTTTGAAATAGCTCGTTCATGCCTTCTAAATAAAGAAAGCGACAGATATTTCGAAGAGTGTATGATATATTACTCTAACAATACAATCTCTACTGAAAGGGAAGGTATGTCAAGGATGGCCACGAGTGGTGGTCGAAATTTAACTGTGGAAGAGCAATCCAATTTTAGGCAGATTTTGGACAAAACCATAAGCAATCTCACCAATAATGTAAATTTGGAGTTTAATAATTCCTCCCGTATCTTTGCTACCACATCAGAAAAATACTCGTCGACTGAAACCTTGTACGCAATTGGGCAATGTAATCCGTATATTCCCTCCACAAATTGCGAGATATTTTCGATTGGTTCATGATCCCTGGTATTAAGGACGTAACTTATGCACAAATACTTTCGCCCATCTGTCGATTAAGTTATTTATTATCTAACGAGGAGCTAAGTCATCCATGGAATTTTGAGGGATATATAGCACGACATCCAAATGTTTCGCCATCTTCATCTTCAGGTAATTTAAATTTATAGTCCGTTCAATTAACATCTACGAATAATCTATACTATATGTTAAAAGCTTTCCTAATTAAGGATACACGCCGCATGTCACCTCTCTCTTTTATCAAGAACGAAGATATCAATTGAAAAATGTTTATTTCAATAATTGAACTTGGTCCATTAGAAAATATATAATAAGTCATATCATCTTTGCTATATAATACTTTTCCTTATCATTCTTTTTAAATATAGTTAATGTAGACCATGATAATTATTTTCATCGACTGAATCTATAATAAAAGTATCTAAGATTATTATAATATATGAAAACTATAATACATGAATACTTAACGTATAAACATACACCTAGAGCATCGTTTGGGCTAAACACTAGTTATTGATGAAAAGTAGCTTCTTATACAATACTTAGACCCCGTTCTTTAGAGTTGTTTCAATTTGCTTTGATCTGCTGAGCCTGCTCTGCTCTATTTTCAAATAATAATTAATAATAACAATAATAATAATAATTAATATTCAATAATAATAACTAATATTGTATTGATGATAAAATTTAGGATATTTTGTGAAAAACTACCTTTTAAACTTTGAATTTTGCGAAAAACTACCCTAAAAATAAAATGTTGTAATTAACTACCTTATATAGTATAAAATGTTGTAATTAACTACCTTTTATAGTATAAAATGTTGTAATTGACTACCTCCTACCGGAATAACACATTTGATTTTTGTTTTCCAGTGTTGACCATGTCATGTGAGGGTCACATGACCCTATAATGACTTAATTCCCCCCTTTCTCCCAAATTTTTCCGCTTTATACCAACTCTTTTCCTTAACAATACAATTATTCATATTTTATATTGTATATTTGCAACCCATTTGATAATTATATGGGTTGAATTGGTGTAAAGCGGGAAAATTTGGGGAAAAGAGGAGAATTAAGTCATTAAAGGGTCACGTGACCCTCACATAACATTATCAACGCCGGGAAGTAAAAGTCAAATGTGTCATTCTGATAAAAGGTAGTCAATTACAACATTTTATATTTTATAAGGTAGTTAATTACAACATTTTGTTTTTAGGGTAGTTTTTCGCAAAATCTGGAGTTTACAAGGTAGTTTTTCACAAAAAATCCTAAAATTTATTATTTTAATTAATTATAATAATTATAAATATTAAAAATAATTATAATAATTATTAACATTAATAATAATTATGATAATTATTAATATTAATCAAAATTAATACTTATTCTTTATAATAATAATGGATATTAATTTATCAATGATAATAATTAATAATTTAAAATATAAAGAATTAATATTTAATAATATTATTAATTAATAATTTCTAATAATTATATCAATTGTTTGAAAATAATAATAATAATAATAACAATTTCTATTTTTCTTGAAATAAAAATAATAACAATTTCTACAATTTACCAAGAATAATAATAATAAACAACTAATATTTTTTTAAGGGAATAGTAATACTTAATATTATTATTTTTAAAACAATACTTAATATTTAATAATAATACTAAATACATAATTTTATTTAATAATAATAGTCAATGATATAAAAAGAACAAAAAAGCTGCAAAAAAATTGTGTGCTTTAATATATGTGATAACAACGAAGATTAACGCAATAATGAAGATGATAACAATGAATATCATAGTGACAATGAAGAGAAAATGACGATCATATGGAAGTAGATGGTTAATCCACCACGATGTTAAACTCTTACATAATTATGTTCCTATTTTGATATGCGGTTGTAATAATTTGAAGATGTTAAGCTATTGTCTTTTATCTTTCTACTATTAACATATGCTAAATATGGTACACATTTATATATGTTTTCACTCACCTAAATCAATGGTATATGCACTTAATAATAATGTCGAAATATGCTTGGAATAACAACAATAATTACAACAACAACAATAGTAGTAGTAGTAATAATAGTAATAATAATAGTAATAGTACTAATAGTACTAATAATAGCAATTATAATAGTAATAGTAATAATAGTAATAATAATAGTAATAGTACTAATAGTAATAATAATACTAATAGTCTTGGACCAACAATACCAGAATTGCGAAGAAGTGTTGCCTCGTAGCCGTCTCGTCAGTGTCTTTCCTCTAGATATTGGTCGTCCTGTGCATGGTGTTAAGTTTCTGGGTGGCCTGTCAGTGCTGATTTCTCTTTATGTGGTGAGTTTGTTTCGCATAGAGTGTTGAAGACCATTGTGCTAATGGATGCTGTTGCTAAGCTCGATGATCCCTAATGCTAGTTGTTGCTTCTTCGTGCGTGTACTAGGGTTTTGAAACTCTATTTTGCTATGCGCACTTATCCTCCTTGTCTTTTTGAAATGACAAAGGTTTCCTTTGACGTAGCCCTTTGAGCTTCTTTAAAGCGCATTATAACTGCTTCGGGGCCTGGTTTTGGTGATTGGCAATGGCGACTTGCTACCTTACCTTTTGCTTATGGTGGTTTGGGTGTCTATTCGGTGGGTGATGTTCGACATCATGCTTTCCTTGCATCGCGTCTCCAGTCTTCTGGTCTACAGGAAACGCTTCTTCGCAATTCTGGTATTGTTGGTCCAGGACGGCCTTCTATGGTGCTCTTAGTCTTTTCAACAGGACTATGGAGACTGATATTATGAGTAACCCTAGTGAGATCGCTGCCCCCAAACTCATGAAGAAATTGGCAGATATATATTTCACGAAGGTCACTGCATCTGCGGATTCCACTTTCCCCTTATCTCCATGTCAGGTTGCTTTATGGAACTCCCAACAGGGGGATCACTCTTCGGCTTGGTTGTGGACGGTCTCGATATCGGGTTTGGGTCAGACTATGAATGGTAAGACTTATCGTAGTGTTCTTTGCTACCGTTTGGGTGTTCCTTTGTTCTCCGTTTCAACATCGTGTTCTGCTTGCTCAAGAGTTTTTGTTGGGGATTGTAGGCGTCGTTCGAAGTGCGCCTACGTTAAAGCATGTGGTGAATATGCTTGGCACTCATAGGAAGTGGGAATTGACATATACGATAAGGGACAAGGAAAGTAGGGAGCCACCAATAAGTTTTTAAGGAACTTGTAAACCGTTCACAGATCATAAAAGGCAACCACGATTTAGGGACAACGAAAGGATACAACGATTGACCCGTGAAGGTTACACCCCATTCATAATCCATGAGATTACTAACTCCATATGGTTCGGAACCATGAAAGGAGGATCGGAGATGATGGTACGAAGTGAGTCATGGAATCACATTCGCCCGTATTGGCCTCTACTCAATTCTTATAGTGAAAAGGGATACCTGCGATCTCAAAGGCATGCAAACAAAGATTCAATTTGCTCCAAACTATTATTAAGCTAAATTGGTTGAATATTAATGCAACATATAATTCTAAAATATTAGTGATCACTTTAATTAATAACAAGATTAAAAAGGAACCTAAACGAGTTTTCCAAATTATCTTATTAGGCGTGATTTTCAATTATATATTCCCTTTAAACATGAAATATGGTGATCATAAAAAATATAATAGAATAAACATTAATATTGGAAGCAATTTAACAATAATATCGTTAGTCAAATCAAATAATATAAATAAACCTAATCATGATACTAGCAATATTAAAAATAAAATAAGTAATTAAATTAATTAATTAGTCACATTCTGCGCGTTCCTTTAATTGCTACATCATGAATAAATTGTTGGTAACTTCAATAAAAAATATAAATCAAATGAAAATTAAATAAAGGTAGAGTTGATTTAGTCCAAACCCTCAGTTATTTGCGCCTTTCACACCTTGGTTTAAGGACGGAACTTCGGGTCGAGTATGGACTCCTTGGAGTGCTTAAGGGAAGAATGGTGTAATTAGAAATATAGGTTTTAGGCTTAGAATATGAGGAGAGAGAGAGAAGAGAATGATTTTTGGTGTAAAAGAGAGGAAGAGAGAATGATTTGGTGCCCCGAACTGTAGAAAGGAGGGGGGTATTTATAGGGAATATGAGTAGAGGGAACACACGGAACCCTAAAAAGATAAAAACCCTAAAAAATAATGCCGCAATACGGAAGAGCACACTGCGACACGGTGCCAGGCACCGTTAGAGGGGGGAAAATCCCGTGACGCGGGAAAAATTGGAGTGAAAACGCGTGAAGTGTTTACGCAAAAAAGACACGAGAAAATTCTGTGACTCGGCACATGTACCGTGACACGGCACACGTACCGTGACACGGTAGTGTCCACCGTGGCATGATACAGTACACCGTGTCACGGTATGGGAAAACGCGGAAATTACACGAAAAAAGCACCGTGATACGATGAGAAATACCGTGTCACAGCAGCAGGTACTGTGTCACGACAACAGGTACCGCGCCACTGTGGATTTTCATGAGAAAAAGTTTCAAAAATAGCACCGTGACACAATGTAAACTATCGTGTCATGGCACCAGGCACCGTGCCACATCATCATGCGCCGTGACATGGTGCTTTTATATTGTGCGTGGTAATTTCAGTTGTTTACTCGTTTTTAAAATTATCATAACTTTTGATCCGTAACTCTGAATAATGAATATAATATATCATTGGAAAGCTTATCAATTCTAATATCTATCCCAATTAGAATCAGGTCAAAATAATTTTTATATTTTAAGATATGGCCGTTTTAGTAGAAGGGTGTCGGTTTTGGGCCGAGTTTAGTGTTTGGCTCATATCTTCTTCGTTTTAAATTGAAATTGGGCTTATGATATATGGTTGGAAAGATTATTTCAATGTCTATTAAAAAAAATAATAATTGGATCAAAACTATTGGCCAAAAATTCAGTTTCTCTCAGTTTTGCAATGTGGACACGAAAAGAGGAAAA